AATTAAACGTTTACTCATCGATATAAAAACTTTTAATTACTATTTAGGCTCAGATCGTATGTGTCGGCCCTTATCCGTTTACTGAGCGCAAATATTCTGTGCAACTTTCCTGAAAAGCTTGAGTTACTTTTTTGTAACTATAGAGTCGATGCGGTTCTTCACCGTGCACGCACCGCTCGTGTGTCATTACTCTAATAGTAAGCTAAAATGAAGTGGGACGGGATACACCGTAAAGTGCGTAGTATAGTGTAATACTCGTAGTATCAATTTTTCCAGTTGTGTACGTCAAGAATAACTACATTTTCATCTGCGTCACGGTGGCAATGGTCCTGCGGCAAATGTTTGAAAATTTCCACTCGTATGGTCTTATTTGTATGCGATAGTTTAGTTTATTGCTTGATTTTGGCAAACCGCCTGAAGGTAAATTGATTTAACTAACTAATGGTTGGTTTCTGAGGCCATAATCCCAGTACAAAATATCGTCATTCTTCACGTTATCTTTTACAACCATAAACAACAATGTATAGGGATTTTGATGTCAGAAACCAACGATAATACAGTCTGTAAGTAAACTATTAAAATTTTCGTGTCACAATATTAGTTACCATACTCCTCCGAAACGGTTTTACCGATTTTTATGAAATTTTATGTACTTTAAAAACGCGCGCACGGAGCCGCGGGCGGCACCTAGTTTTATTTATATAACAATCTTTTGTCTTCATTTAAAACATGAAATTAAGGTTTTCGATTCTATAATCTATTCTTTTATACATATATCGTCCGATTTAACACCGATAGCTAAACGAGTTGGAAAACTGAAACCTGTACAAGTTCAATTAACTTTCAATAATTACGTTTTACCGCAGGGAAAACCGTAGAACGTTTGTTGTTCAAGCTAATGCACTGTTTCTTACACTGCAAGTTCTAGATTATAGGGTGACTATGCTACATGAAAATTATCCCGAACATTTTCTGGCTGACAAGACACGTCTCTTCTTAAACAAATATTATAAATGCGAGTGTTTAGATATATGGATGAATGGATGGATGGATGGATGGATGTATGTTTGTAAGAAGGTATCTCCGGAACGACTCAACGGATCTGGCTGAAATTTGGCATAGATGTCAACCATAGTCTGGAAGAACACATAGGCTACTACTGAGTTTTTTTTAATTTCGCACTGACGGAGTCGCTGGAAACAGTTAGTTAGACAAACTATTTACCTAATTTGAAAGAAAGTTGTCTAACAACATGTAATATTTAGAAAATATGTAGTAAATAAAATCGTGCGAAGCTATTAGATATTTCCATATAGAGTAATAATTTAACGAAACGTAGAGACAATCCTTCTGTTTCATGAAGCGTGAACAAAGCTAAAGGGCATTGAATGTAAAGTAGCTCGTTGAATAAACGATAACATCTTGAGTAAGCTTTAATATTTTGTACGTAAAAAAGCTTTTTATTGTGCTGTAAGTCACCTCTTACGTAATAATTTTTACAGAAATAACGATATTTTTAAACGGGGATTTTGGTCTTAGAAATCCACGGTGAGTCTTATTTTTGCGGTATTAAGAAGTAACCTAACATTTGTACACAATTATCATGATTTAAGATTGTCAATTGTCAAGTTTCTAGGTACAAGAAACTCTGTAAAAGATGTAAATCTGAGGATTTTTTTTATACCAGAAATTAAAATCGATATATCTTGCAGTTGCGGTTACTGGCGGATATTCGTATTTATTTGTAAGGCTATACATCAGTTTATTAGTTTGAACATTAGATTCTCTGTGTATAACATTAGGCACCAGAACCGCTGTAAACTCAACAAGAAGTCATTAATCAAGATGTGATAGACGACGATTAATTCTGTATTTACTTTAGACCAGGTTTATTCTGTTTCAAACACACTTGGTTTATTTCTTCGACTGTATTCGCTGCTTCTGTTTTAAGGTGACCGATCAGCCAGTTAGCGGATGATAAGATTTTAAATATATTATTTATTACACATTTTTAATTTTTAAAGTTTGTTTCGTTTCCACGAGGTTGTCACGCTTAGCAAGATGTTGCCGAATTTTTGTGAAGGCACGTGGCAGTATTTTCCTGGAGTGAGATCAGTACAGAGGGTTCAGGTGTGTTTCATTAGAGATCCCGGGATCCTCGTAGTCGCACTTGAGGTTGGCCACCGAGGGAGTTTTACCCAGTTTTTTTTTTAACCCTTTGGTTCTAACAAAAGGGCTCTTACGAAGATTTCCTCCGATATAAAAAAAAACGTTTCGTTAAAAATTACGGAAATTAGGCAATTTTACACATATGAAATTGAGATCTTTCACTGCTAATTGTTAATTATAGTTACCTACTTACAATAACATGAATATTGTATATTCATATCCTTTAAACGTCAAAATTGATGTGCAATGTACGTATTGTCCTCAGTGAGGCTGTTTGATGTTAGACAACTTTATCGTTCAGTTCCTAAGGCCATTATAGACTTTGAAGTTCTGTATTGATTTCTACGTTGTTAACAAGTAACCTATAAATTTACTTTTCAAAGTTCGGCAACTCAAGACATTGATATTGTTGATAATTTTGTTTTTACTAAATTTATATATTTCAATATTTTAAAATATCGCTTTCAAAGTCCCTCCCTGCACTAAACTTTAACAAAATTATGGGTTTTTAATACAATTAAAATTTCGTTACATAAAATTTAGAATGTAACTGTGTAACAATGGTTGTTGGAATGTTAAATTGTCTAAAATTTAATCGTCTGCATCACGGATAACGCATAAATGTTACATTTGGAATTCACCTCGCGGTTTCTGACTCCGGGATTATTTGTGATAGGCTAGGGGTAAACGATCTTTCTATTGTTTTGTTTACTTGTAATGCTTTGAGGCGTGTTTGTTATCGGTAGATAGATTGATATTGAGGAGGGAGACCTGGTACGCTAGTACTTAAGTGAGACAACGATAGGGACTTTGAAGTTGGTTAGTTGAAAAAGCTTTAGCTATACAAAAACCACAATTTTTTATATTAGCAGTATTTTTGTTAATTACTAGTACTTGTACCATTCCAACTAAGCTTATGCTACGACAAGGTTTACGGTAATTGTCGAGTGGTGGGATTCGATCTCCCGAGAAACTCCATATACCTTAATCTATTGACGCTACTAATTGCTTTGTTACTTTATTAAATGTCCCAGTTTTTCTACTTTTGGCTACTATATTGTATACCTCCGAGTACTAATCCTTACTAATATTATAAATGCTTCATATTAGTGTAAGGTCAGTGAATATAAGTTGTTACATAATTAATTTAATTTTGCTGTCATTAATAATTGTGACATATTATTAAGCTTTATCGTTAATATTAGCCTTTAATTACTTTGCGTAATCTTCGTGATTAAATGTGTTAAAATATATGTTTTGGGTAGTGTTGAGAAAGAGTAAATTACGGTTATTTCGGATTGAACTATGAATAAAATTAATGTAGTAAACGTAGACTATATTAGGTATGATGCAGAGGAATTGAAAATATATATTTTGCAATAATAACATTGGATTAAAAAGAAAGAAAAGAAAAGGTTGAAAATAATAGATTAGCCTTTGCAATATAGAGCGTGGTTAGTTATTTACAAAGTATAATGAGAATAATCTATATTTTTTTGTATTATACGTAAATGTACAAAATTATTTTTAATAAAACGTTAATTAAAGTCTTTTATCATATTTACCTTTGGCCGACAGGCAATTTTGTACATTAAGTTTTTTAGCTCGCTACGTAATAACTAAGACTAAGCGAGGTAATCTTAATGTTATCGAATACTTGGCCTACATTATTAAATATTGCACGATGCTGCTGTTAAAAGTTTCATTTAGACATGGCAGAGATACGTAACTTTACGCTATTAAAAGCATAAGTTTTTTTAAATATTATAAGGTGACAATTGAAAATGCGGCCACTAAAATTCGCCAAAATACAATCGCAATTGCAGAAGCGTTGCCTACTTTAAATGACGGAGGAGGAGGGACCCAAAGAATGGGTATGTTTCCCCTTCCTATGCGTCCACTCCTCCGTCAAATCCACTATTCCTTTCCAGCCTTTTCTTCTTATAAGAAAGTATAAATAATTTAAAACTAGCGGGTAAAATATCTTCACATAAATAATAGCAAAGTTATAGAAGCACTAATTAGCATAGCGGTCCCGTGAAAATCGTTTGGACACTCCTTTGGTTATAACATTCTATGTATAATGATTGTGTAATCATCCAAAGAAACCGTTTACGTGTCCCTATTTTTATTATTTTATTAAATATTAACAAACTTAATTAGTTTTATTTTGTGTTTTTTTTTTAATTTTAGGTTATAAAAAAATAAATAATTGGATTTGATATTGATATACAGATAGTGAATGACCTATTTGTTTCTAACAGTGTTCAAAAATATGTAATAACCTGAGAGTTATTCAACGTCCTCACCTTGTACGGCAATGGGAGGAGCGCGGCGGGGCATCTCTTGTAGCCTGCGATGTTGATGCACAAAACATAAGATACGGGCGTTTTCAACTACTACAATAAAATTATATGAGTTTCATTATACATTGTTGTACATCTACGCTTCGCATTAGCTTAGCATTAAAATCTTCAGCAATTTCTAGTAATTTTAAATTAAAAAAATTAACCGAAGCATTATTGTCTCTAGTTTACAAAGCGTTCGAAATAATATATGAAAATGAATAGATAGGATTTTCGTATGTTTGGTTGTAAGCGATTAGTCTTCATCCAAATATATTCTAGTATACACGTGGAAAACTGGCGCACGTCACTAGTTATACCAATAATATCCATTACTGACATCAAGTAAATTAGATAAATATTGAAATTGCGTTATTATATTGTCTTCTCGTCGTAATTGAGTCTAATTTTTCGTTTATACCACACATTTCTGAATAGATCTATAATACACGCAAGGTGAGGCAACTGCCAAAAGGGCAATCTAGACAGATATAAGCCGTGAACATCCTTACGAACTGTATTCAAGTGCCGGAGTCCGGACGAGCTGTAACAGTCAGACAACACCCTATATTACGAAATGGTAAGACAGACCTTGACTTAATAATAAGAGATCAACAAATTGCTCACACTAATAAAATAATCAATCACGATAATCAAATCTATTTAATGATTCAATTATTTCTTACAATATCAACTGATTTGTAGCAGATTGGTTGTGCACAATAGTATAAGTTTCAAGTTGAATGCAAAGTTACCGCCCACTCACGTTTCACCTCCCTGCGTTACCACCTTTAAACTATAATGTTATTTTCATGAGTTTTACTTTTAAATTTATTTAAGCAGATTATCCATAAGCTATTGTTGCGTGACACTTACAAATCATTCGAACAATGGTGATTAGTTAACTGTCAAATTTTGTTAAAAATAGAGCAACTCTACATTTAGTTGTCAAGATGTACAGACTTATTTTTATATTAGTTTGAATAATTTCGATCGATATTTATACTTAAACTATTTTTATTAACAACAGATTAGAATACTTACTATAAGTTACAGAAGTTATTGTGACATTGACATCTCTTGTTTGGCTTTAAAAAAGAACCGTGTGTTATAGATGTTTCTGGTATCTTTACTGGTGTTGGGTGTGGCGTCCGCGGCACGGTTGGAACATCTAACGCAGGGTTACCAAGGCGGCTCCGGAACACCTTTCCACTATGAAAATGTCAACAATGGAGACGGCAGTTATCACTATAGGTATGTTTTTTTATTTTTTAAAAGCTTTTTTCGGCTAACTACTCCTTTAGTGTGGGTTGACTAGAGACTTTGTTTTCTTTATAGTATAGGTTAGCGACAAATATCATACCTAAGTTCACATTCCTTATTGCATTGTGGGACCTAAAGGACCTTTGGTATTAGAGGAAAGGTTAATTTTATAAATCAACGCGGGCATCTCGGCATCAACACTCAATGTTAGTGTATTGACACACTAGTATTAATATTTCTCGCACTCAGTTTCATTTGAACTAATGTTTATACGCAAATCGATTGGTAATAAATTCCAGCTTGATACATTTACGCGTTCCTGAGAAAAAGGGTCTTAACAGACAGATGGTAGGACAACAAAGTAATCCTATAAAGGTTCCGTTTTTTCCTTTCGAGGTACGGAATACTAACCTATTTGGTTATAATACTGTCCATTTATTACTTTAATATTTATTAACTTAATAAAATTGGGGAAGCACAAATTCGCTTGGTTTAACCTTGTTGAATTTTGCAACGAAATTTATCTCAATTTCTTTTTATTTTATAAACAGACAATCATTTTTCCTCAATGATCATTAAAATTCGCGTAGGTCCTAGTGTGGCGACGGTCTTTATTTCATAGAATGTCACTAAGTCGACCCTACTGGTCCTAAAAGGTGACCAACAGGTGGCCATAAAGCTTTATGCGCTTCGATATATTACAAAAGAATGTCAAGAAATAATAATGTAAATAGACTTTTATATAGTTAGTTGCTTACATTTAAAATTAATTTTAAACCAAATAAATCGAGTTTAAATTTTGACCTGTTAAACAAAAAATGATCATATTCTTCGTTTGATATTTCCAGTTACGACACACCCACCGGTATATCGGCGCACGAGAGCGGTGCACCCAGGGCTCCAGGCCCTGAGGGTCCCGCGGTGACCGCGGAAGGTGGGTTCTCCTTCCGTACAATCGACGGCCAGCAGATCTCGCTGACGTACACCGCTGATGAGAACGGCTTCCACCCAGTCGGTTCCCACCTTCCCACACCACCGCCGATCCCGGAAGCGATACTACGCTCCATTGAATTCAACCGACAGAACCCGTCTTCGTAAGTATTTGCTAGATAATCACTTATTTACCATCTATTATTAATTCGTTGACTATACAAAGATATGTAAGATAAACATCTTAATCATATTACAGCAGTGGGATAACTTAACCAGACTTGGTCAAGAAAATCTTTTTTATGTTAAGTCGTGAGAGTATATTTAATTTTATTAATGTATTATAGTTTGCATAGTGTAGTGCTTCAGTTACCACGCATTAATATATCGTTATGATTAGTTTTTGCTCTTTCTTGTTAATATCCTGTGAACGATAAAGCTAAAATAGAAAAATGGAAATTTTCCTATAGTCATAGCCCCAAATTTGACTATTTCTGCCCGTGCTCTCAGAATGTAATTACCATTGCATTTTATTTTATTAGCTAGCTGGCTAGACAATTCTAGCTATTATAAAAAACTGACCCGGACATTAGGTTAGAAAATGATTCGTACTTTATTTATTTAACCTTTATTCGCACGTAAATGGAATGTATGAATTGTTTGTTACGGCGTGAGAACACATTGTGAATCTATCAACATAAATTGAGATAAGTCTAACTTTTTAATTTTTTATGAAATAGCGAGTATAAATTTTATATGAAACTAGCTATCGCCCGCGACTCCGTCCGCGCGGGATTAAAAATATTATAGATGTTGGCCGATTCTCAGACCTACTCAATATGCTCGCAAAATTTCATGAGAATCGGTCAAGGCGTTTCGGAGGAGTATGGGAACGAAAATTGTGACACGAGAAATTTATATGTAAGATTTAAAATCATTGTCGCATTTGTTGGTGGCAACTCGTGAGCTTCAAGTCAGGTTATTAAGTTTGGCCTAATATGTAGTAACATTTGTACCGTCAATTGCCATTCTTGCCAATCGTTCAAGATATTTACACTACAATATTGGTAAATTTTATCGTCGCTGCATTTTATTATCTGTATAATTGTTTATTCCAGTGACGACGGCTCTGGTGGTCGTAACGCTTACAGGTACTAGGCGCCCTCTACAAGTGACAACCTGAACGAGATTGCACGTACCTCATAGCACGGACTGTGATAAAAAGATTAAAGTCCCTTTACGCACTTCCCTATTCAATTATTATATTGTAATTATCTTTTTTAATAAAACGATTCGGTAATATCCGCTCGATTTTGTTGTTTTCATTACCTATATTTATATGTGAATCAATAAACAAATGAAATTACTAAACAATAGTTGTCAAAAGGCCATTTTGCAAATAACTTTAATTATTTAGTCAAACTAATAATTATAGAACTTATAATCGGAAGCTTATAGCAGCAATAGCTATTTAGCATTGAACTTATTTCATTTCTGTACTTATAAAATGAAGACGAAATATTTGATTGTTTGTTTTTTTTTTAATATTAAAAGGTGGAAATAGCGGGGCCACGGCTGCCCATAGACGTTCTCAATTACACATGCTTTGCCAATGTTTAATCGATGGAAAAGATGATGCACAGAAAGATAATATTTTCCCTTTCTATGCATCCTCGTCACCTTCCTTACCACATAAGAAAAAGGTAGCAAGGGAAAGAGGGCTAAAATTAGACCTCCAGGACCACACTCGTCAGTTTAAAGGCGCAATTACTTTCACTTCACGCTATCTTCTGTGTGGTCTTGGAATTTCACCGGGAGAGTGGGCCCATTCGTGTAACAGATGTTGTTGTTGCTGGCCGACTATAAAATTGTATGGTTACCAGTTTCTCTTGCATGACAAACTCTCTTTAAATATAAACGGACCTTAATAAGATCGAAATAAAGAAAAATAAAGAAGCGAAAGCACATCCTTTCCATAGACACTTCGTAGTGTTATCAAAATGATATGATATGGTACTGAAATATTAAATCTTCTTGTAATTCAATCCTACTATTTAGTTGAAGAAAAATCTATCGTTATACTCTGAAATTAAGTTTGTTTTGATGATTGGTATGTTGCCTATTATGAGTTGGATTAGATTTCTCCAAGAAAACGTAAAAAAAAATGACGACAATTTGTCACTGAACCTTATAAATAGTTCTGGATCGGTTTTCCAGATGAACTACCGGGAGTCCATAAAAGACTCGGCGAAGTCGTAGATAACAGTTTGAAATCGCGAGTTGAACAGTCAAAGAAGAAATTTATTAGCAGAGGGTTTTGAATTTTAAAAGGGGATTACGAGATTAAAAGTTTAGGATATATGACCTGGAGCCTCAGACAATTGACAATCCATTGTAATTAACAAGACATTACTGGATCCATTATAGTACTCTGTAAAATAATTATTTATTTGACTAACATGAATGCACAGACTCGTCTAGATTTCATGACATTAAATATCTAGATGACCCTTTGGTTACTCTGTTTTCAGTACTCTGTTTTCCCTTTACTAATAGCTATGTTAGCATCCTCTAAATAAGTTCGTAAATTAAACATTTTTGAGGATACTGATGAGCAATAACAAGATAAGCTGTTTTTACAAGCTTTTATTTAGTTTCTCCTGGCCCAATGTTTGTTATCAAATCTTTCAAATTATGATTTACTTCTCGGTTACTGATTGAATTCAAACTTTGCACACCTGCGTAAATCGCGTTTCAATGAAATATTATGATGACAAGGTGCTGGTCTGATGATGAAGCTGGAAGATGATCGTTGGAATTTTGCTAATAAATGGCACAACTTCAACTAGTTTGGACACGTTTGAATCATCTTGAAGAGTAGTTTGTACACAAGGATGTTTTATTTTAAGATTTTTCTTTTAATTTTTGCTATTAAAAAGTCAGGATCATAATAAAATCATTAAATGGGAATAAAACCTTTATTTATATTGCTTATTTACATTATGATGAACTTATACATAACATCGTGCTCGATTACAACGTGGTATCACAGTCCCAAGGTTAGTGCGGTCGATATGCGCTTTAACACGTCGTACCACTAACAAAGCTTCATACTACTAGGCAAGCTTACAAGTATAGCTTCTACTACGTTTTAAACTAACTGTAGTACTTAAGCTCTTAACTTATTATATTTCGAGGCATTAGCATAGTGATGAGTATGATCAAATGAGAGGCGTTTGAATCGCATATTAAATCTACAAACTTATCTAATAAAGAAAGAGATAAAAGAATTAGGCGATAAGTAAAAATAAAAATAGAAATAAAACCGTATGGGGGATATTGTAACAGAAATAAAAAAGGGTATTAAGGTGCGGAGATATATCCAGCGGGGATATAAAACACAGGAGCAAGGATCAAGAAAGGACGGGGGCGCATAGGTCTACTAGGTATAAATAGGTACGTGTTTGCATGCGATTCGTCGGCCGAATGCGGTTCGGGGTCTAGGAATGAGATCAGTAGTGGTAGCCGTTGGAGCCTCCGTTGCCTCCCGAGCCGGCGCCTGGGTTGTACGCACCTTCACTGCAAAATAGGAATTTTAAGAATTTGAAAGATTGTCTATAGTAAATTAACTAATAATAGAAGATATAGTCCAAAACAGGCTATTTGAATCTTTTACTATCTTCTAACAAAACAGAAAATATTATGTCCATCACTTCTGTAGACTATGTAAAAGAGGATAGATTCAAATCGCTTGTGCCGAAAGCGAGGTTTTGTATAACTTTTGATCTGATATTTTTAATTTGACTTACGAGGATGGGTTGCGTCTGTTGAATTCTATAGAGCGAAGGATTTCTTCAGGAATAGGTGGTGGGGTGGGGAGGTGTGCGCCGACGGGGTGGAAGCCGTTCTCGTCGGCGGTGTAAGAGAGGGAAATCTGCTGGCCGTCGGGCGCGCGGTAAGAGAACCCGCCCTCGGCAGTCACTGCGGGTCCTTCGGGGCCCTGAGCTCGGGGAGCACCGCTCTCTTGCGCTTGTATACCATTGCCAGTCTCATAGCTAAAATTGAACATGTTCACAATAAAAAAAATCTGGTTGTTTATTGTAATAATTATGATGGAAATAATTTTTGCAAAATATGTTTGTACCGCACTAACCTTATGATGAAATCCAAACAAAAGGTAACAAAATGATCTGATGAATGATATGTAATCACATATCCCAAGAAAAGCCCACAAATATTCTTCAGCAATGATTATGTTAGTAATATACTTTTTATCTTTAGATCGATATCATTCGACAGACTCACGATTTGAAGAACATTACAAAATGAAGACGAAGAAGGTTACAAAATGATCTTAATGGAAATTCGATTGAAATATTGTATATGAAATGCTAATTACACGGATGCGATAAATAAATCGTGACTCAAATCTCCACCAAGTACATACCTGAAGCGGTAAGTTCCATCGCCATTGTTCTCGTTTTCGTATCTCAGGATAGGTATATTAGCTCCACCGTTGCCGCCGTAGCTAGGGTTGTTGCCAGACCCACCGGATCCTCCGCCCGAGCCTCCGAATATCCCGATGCCCGACCCGCCACCGCTGCCTGCTCCACCGCCGAACACACCACCACCGCCGCCGCCGCCGGGACGAGGCGGCAGGTACTGCGGCTCCAGTCGCCCGCAAGATGTCGCTACCACCAGAGCCGATAGCATTACAAACTGAAATTGAAAAAAAAAATAGACAACAGACCTATGGATGTTTATTGTAGATGGAACATTCGCTCTTTGAAAATGCCCTTGAATCTGAATGTTAATCGCTCCCTAAACTTATGTCGAGGTTGCCATTCGGAGACATTGAGGTAGGTTTTTCTGAAGAACTTACAATACGGCCCGTGCCGTGCCATTTCGTTTCAATTAGGAAGGATTGAGCATAAATTGCAATTATGGAGTTTATGTATTCAACTTAAAATGAAAAATTACATACTTTTTATGCCATAGCAGTATCAAGTGCATAATAGATTTTCTACGTCATGCAAAAAACTGTCTAGTTAATCCTATGTTACATAAGAAGCGATATCTCCATAGTTAGGAGGATAAAACTCATATCAGTTAAAGTTTAATTAGTTGATTTGATCGTAAAAAAACAATAGTAGAGTTTTTGGCATAAGTCGTATTGAAGTAGTCAAAAAGTATGTTAGTGAACTATTTTCATTATCTTCTTATATTAAAAAGAAGGAAATTAATGGGGATTTTTGTTAACTAAATTAAAAAATATATTGGACGAATTATTTTCGATCTTACCAGAGCAGGCGACATAATTAATGTTTTACTCGTAATATTGATCGAAGTCGGGCTACTCTTCGTTCAGCCGATGGCGGAATACAGTTCAGCGAGGATGTGCACCGTTTTATATTGGCCCGATTTGCCCTTTCGCAGTTGCTTCACCTTGCGCGGGTCGGCGCGGCGATGCGGCGATCCTATCCATGCACGACCCATCTCCGCCTTAAGCTCTGAATCATTCACATTACCAACTATTTCCCATACAATGATTTCTACAATTAGGTCACTTTTTTCTATTGTTAATCACATAAACATTTTCAAATAAATCAACGCTTGAAGCGCTGAAAAAGTGTAATCAAAAATTGAGAGATACCTCATAGTTTGTATTTTAAAACGAGTCTATTTACTCTATGGAATAATTATAGGTTGAAAATAGGATGAGATTAATATTAGTGATTTAGAATCTTCATTTCATTAAAAACTTGTAGAACTTAGTAAAGATATAAATACTTTATTGTATAAACTCGCTCTTAATACTTATTTACATAGCTGATGTACATATGTAGAAGGCATTTATTCTTACCAAAAACAGAAATCCTCTTAGATTTATAGCATCAATTGAATTTAAATATGCCAAATATGTCATTATAAACTAGTTGCAGTAATTTGAATCATTCCATCCTTCCATTTAGCACGGTTCTGAGGCATTCCCATCGTTGCTGCCACATTAAGACATTTACGTTTGTCACGCGTATTCTTATAAGTATAAATTGTGTAACAATTTGAGTCGTACATTAGAATATTATATCTTATATATAAAATTCTCGTGTCACAATTTTCGTTCCCATACTCCTCCGAAACGGCTTCACCGATTCTCATAAAATTTTGTGAGCATATTGAGTAGGTCTGAGAATTGGCCAACATCTATTTTTCATCCTCCTAAATGTTAAGGGTAGTCCACCACTATTTTTATTTTTTAGACAAACACGCGGACGGAGTCGCGGGCGACAGCTAATATTGGTATAAATTCT